CGCGTGCTTGTCGTAAGAGCTCCCCCAACCCCTTCTCCATCACAGCTTTCTACTTCCTCGTCGTCACCGTGAACACATATGCGGTGACGCACTTGGACCACGTACCTGGACACACGGCGATATATTGTTCCCAAACCTTCCCGCAGTTCGTCCAAACTCATCAGCCCTTTGTTGCGAGTACGCTGAGCGCTCTGACGATGAGACTGCCACTGCGGGCTCAAGATAACCTTCGAACCAGGCGTTGAAGCATGTGTCGTATTTCGCTTGCAGGAGTGCATTCAGGAGAGGTTGCCATGGTTGACAGTGACAAAGCCATAATAAACATCGGCAAACATCAAAACAAATCATTGTAAATACCCTGCGCAAAGTCTGCACCAAATCCTTGTGAGGGCCCATGGTTTCTGTTGCGAAACCTTCTCGGCTTGACCACGAATCTTGTCGTCGCCGAGCTTGTACACAGTGAGCGGGCCGATCCTTCTATCATGACATGTTTCAATTTTCAAATCGGAGGCTGAGTCAAGTTGGAGTCAAGGCAAAGTCAAGGCTGAGCGCTGAGTTCTTAGGATTTTGTAGAGTGTTCTTCTGGGGTGAGGACTCTGACGCAGGCAAGATCCATTGAAACGGTCAAAAGTTACTAGAATCAAGAATCACATTCATATACAGACACAAGTACATAGTTCTTCAACAGCCGCCATCATAGACATTCGGAAACAGGAGTCCACAACGCTTACTTGTACGTGCTTTGCAAATATGTCAGCATGAAAATAAAACTTTTGAAAATTTCATCTTACTAGTTGACAGCCACACCAACAACAGTGTCATGATAGTCGGAATCACCGCCGTCCTCGGCGTTCACCTTTCAAGGCATTAATTCGCCTTGCAAGTTTTCAGAGACCACTGAAACGCGGATTACTTACCAGAGTGAAGCTGATGGCGTTCTTCCCACCAATGGTGAAGTCATACTGGAATTGGCAACAACGTATTAGGTTTCCGGCAAGAAATCATCATCACTGCAGGACATACGGAGCTGTGGTGTGGATCGCTAGGCGCGAAATTCTTCTCTCCAGGCTTCTGGTGAGAAGTGTAAACGGCGATATAGTTGTCGTCATTGAATGGGCCGATGCTAAGGACAGCAGGGTCCTTATCAACAAAATCAGGTGGCTTGATCTCCGCGATGTCGAAACGGCTGTTATCACTGGGGGCAAGCCAAAGGGCTTGGGGATCCTTGACAAAGTAATTGGTGTCGAGGACATAAGTATTGTAACGCTGAACCCATTCTGCAGTGCGTTGCTGAATACCCCTGCCATGAGATCGATGATACATCAGCCAGGAAATAGGACCACATACCCCGAAAATGATGCCGATGGTTTTCGCGGGAAGAGGGATGACCACGACTTTCGCGTCAGTAGGTCCACCATGTGGGGAGAGGTCAATAGTGCGTAAGGCGGGTTTGATTGCGTAGGCTGGCATGATATTGAAATGTAGGCAAGGAAGTTGAGAATACCAAGGGGCCAGGACTCATGATTTTATACAAGTCCTTTGTTTTTCACTGTTTGATTCGATAAAACTCTCAAGGTCGAACTTTCCAGTTTTGAAAACTCACATGGAGTAGTAGAGTGGACTGAAAAGGTATATTATTACCTTTCTCAGAATGGCCTCAGCAGCCTCCATTTTAAAAAATACCAAACGAGAAACACCGCCCATGATCGTAATCCACTTTGAATCCACTGATTAATACCTGTGACCTGTCTTTACTTTTGCAAGTGTTGAGCGGCGAGCGCAAAGTGAGATTACACGGAGATATTTTGCCACCTGTCCCCATTTTTGGATGTATCCAGCGCTCTGCGCTATCTATGTTCAACGAGATAAGTTATACGGAGATGTTCTGCCAAGAGTTCGTGGTGCGAACTTAATGTCGATACATCGCGGGATGAGTGATTCTGACTTAACGTAGGCAGTTTGCTAGCAGAGAGTTGGGCCCACGCTCGTGGCTGGAATTGAGTAAACTCATTTATGAGGTTTTTGTACAATACCTAAATTGGTAAAGCGTGTCAGTGGCCTCATAAGTAGTCCGCGTCAAGTCCACTCTCGCGTCACGGGGCAGTTGCCTTCTTCACAATGTGAAATTTACTTCCAAGGTTGGTATTTGGTGTAACCCGTGCCCTGTGTCCTTATCTTTGGACAGCCTCTGAATCGAAAGCGAAAGATACGAACTGGGAAACACTCTTCCATGGTCGTATTCACAATCTTATTTTTAGAAGCGTTCAGCGCTGTGCGCTAAATGTTAGTTTTAAAGTTTGCTTTCGACGGAGTTTGGAGGGCGCCATTCCAGCTTTCAAAGCTCCATAGGCGAAGACTCCTTTCCATATTGTTCGAAGTGGGAAGGCCCGGGAATGCTCGGGAACAACAAGAGTCGGCCTAGAGACAAGACAGGTGACAAATGTGAAGATAAGCACCAATTGTCACAGATACGCAGTGCAGAGACTACGCTATTTGATAACCTGTTTGAATGAGCCCCCTGCGCTTCAAAAAAGGCGGTGTTGGTGGTGAAAGTTCGTGCGCCGAGCGATATCCTGGTGTTCTCATGTTAAGCTTTTGATCTAAGACGAATCATGAGTTTTAAGCGGAGGAAGGTCATATGGGCATATTTTGTGATTTCCCAGGAGTTCACCTTTTCCCGGAGTCAATACAACCTACGCGTTGGGATCAAAAGAAAGGTGGGAGTTGGTTGGGAGACTGATTGCCCAGATGAAGAATCTTATTGTCGTCGCTCATTGCCACGTTGAACGTTCTCGTGAGGGTAGGCGGCACAAAGCACGACGCCCACGCCATATGGGGAGCATGTGCCTTGGCGTCTGCATTATCAAAACTGAAAACTTGGCGTGAGTGAGCGTTTTCGCATCGGGACGATCAGGCGCAAAATCTCACCGGAAGATATCACTTGAGCACACCTTGTACACAGGCGTGTTAGTGCCTCTCAACCTATAACATCAACGTGAACAAGGGAAGTACCAAGCAGAATTGATCGGGATTCATGACAGAAGACAGAAGGATTGAGCAGCCAATAAACGGTTCCAAGTCTTTTAACAATCCACCACACGTTCGAAATGAAAAACCTCTTAAAAAACTTGGTTCGCAAAGGGACAAAACGAAGCATACACGGATATAACACTGAGAATCTCGGGAAAAATGGATATGAAGACGGCGCAACCAGTGAGCAGATAAAATGACGACAGAATCAGTGGAACAGGGCGTAAAGCTGTTGTTCAACTTCTTCTGCTGATCTCTTGATATCTGAAAGAAAGAACAGAGTGTCAGGGCCAAGCAAACGGGAGAAGCTAAACAACCCTACATTTCTGTGGGTCTGAGAAAGTAAAGTAATCACGTGATCAGAAGTTGAACGTGCACTGTGACTCAAAATCAAGACCACTCACTCTTACTAAAATCCTTGTCCTTCTGCCTCTGCGTGAAACGCTGCAACGCCGGAACAACAAGTCTAATAACCTCCTCCCCAAGTGTTTCCCTGCCCGCAGGTTCGTCCTCCAAAACCTTCGCCAGCCGATGCCTCTCCACAACCTCATCCAGGAGGTCGAAAAACCGGGTAAACTTCTCCTTCGCCGCGCCTTTGCTGCTCTTGTCCCTGGGGTCGTCCGCCAGTGCCTGCATGAGGGGTGAAAAGTTCGAGTCGAAGTATCCGGCTTTGGCTGTCCGGAAGTTGGAGTTGAGGGCGTCTACGGCGGATTGAGGGAGGAGGTTGGAGATGGAGGGGTTGGTGGGTTGGATGAGGAGGTGTTCGCGCAAATAGGACACGTTGTTGAGCAGGAAGATGGAGCCGAAGGCTGGGCGGCGAGAGGTTCGCGAGATGGCGGTTAGACTGGTAAGGCTGGTTATGATAACGTCGCCTGGATGTAACTAAGTATCACGTCCGCTGCGACAAAAACTGAACTAACCAATGAAGTGTTCAAGAATGGCGGATTCGTCGCCTTCGCGAGCTTGGCCCACTTGAATTCCTTCGCCCATCTTCCAGTTCCCGTCCCCGAGGGCGAGTAGTGCGGAAGAAACGGCGCTTCGAACCTCAGGCACTTTGGTTATGTACCTAACGGTCTGTAGAGTGCTATGAATCGACATCTAGCAACGAGAGGCAAGAAATGAACATACCGACAGAGTGAAACCCGTAAGTTTGGTGCTGGTGTCTGAGCCCCTGCTCGTCGCACCCAACTTTATATCCGCAAGGAACTCGGGGAAACTGCGAAGGCACAAGGCGCGGAGGGTTTGTATAGCGTCCTTGAGTTCGTTCTTGTCCGTCGCGGTATCACGACGAGACAGAAGATATTCGCATTCAGACGTTCCAAAGTATCCTTGTAAACCCCGATTTGCCCCAGTTGAGGGCTATGTAACGATATTAACGAGAGTATTGTTTGTTGAACACCAACACGCACCCACGTAAAATCAATGCCTCTTCCGCTGCCAAGTCCTCGTGATGAATAGCCACATCATTGATCTTCGCCAGAGTTTCGTCAATGTCTTCAAAGTGTCAGCGCAACGCAACTTTCAAAGCACTAGATAACCTACTGCTTCTCCGTCGGTTCAAAATTTGTGCTGCCGTGTATAACGGTAAGATGGACTTTTCGAGCTTTGCTATCCGGGTATCGAAGCTATCAAGAATGGCTGGTCAGGTGAGTGCGATGCAGGCCAAATGTCAGAGAACGGCGTACTAATCATGCGTTTCGAGATCTGCTTCGTTTTGTTCAGATTTTGCTGGAGCTGAACGCGGGGTGTAAGTGCATATCTTCAAGTAAACCAGTGATATAACGTTACCAGCTCAATTTCCGCTGTTTCGTCGTCCATCTTGCCAGCCCAGAGAGAGGAGGTCGTTGGGACCGGTGCAGGTGATGGTCAGAGACGGCAGTGTGGCATCAAATTCGTTGATGTGGTTTGTTTGTCACCCTCCTTGACCTCTTCTGCACCAACCAAACTGAACAAAACGGGACCAAGACGGGACGGGCATCTCACAAAAAGACCTCCTTTCGCCTCAATCGGAAGGGATTCTTACATTTAATGGTTCGTTTCCAACCAATGTTTTCAGGCGCGGCTGACAAAATTCTTAAAGATTTTGATATTCATGACGCCAGGTTACAAACGCGTAGAACGTACTTCTTGTACGTTCAAGTTGTGCAGCCTTTTACGTGATTTCAGCACGCCTGCTTCATAAAAGAAGTCTGAAGAAGCGTTTCCGGACAAATAGATGCCCTCAACACCTCGAACTTTCCCCGATGGCCATTTAATGCTACGAATGAGATGGAACAGTCCAGAACGATGCAGGAAATGAGCTGGAACACTTGTCGAGAAATCCAGATTTAAAGGTATCGATTCACGAATACGTCTAAGATCAGGTGTTGACTGTTCGCCTAATCCAACTTATCCACTGACAAAGGCAGGGGAATTGGTT